TTAATATATCAAAATATGTGACTTAATTCGTTTCTTTAAAATTCACTTGCAGTACTTTTCTCTTATAGGTACTTGATTTCATTTTTTGATTTAATTTCAGACATTAAATAATTTTTAAAGTTTAATTTAGACATTTTTTGATTTAATGTTAGACATATTTTAAATTAATTTTAGGGATTTTTACTTTGTTTCTGAAAAACCGAATATCAGAAAAAGGAAACAAAAAGTAAGAGCATTTAAGTTATGTATAAATTTTTAAAACGTTTATTAAATCTACAGCATTTAAAGATACAAATTTCTAACATCTTGAATATTTTTAGTCATGTCGGAAATAAAAAATTCAATTTTTATAAATATATAGGAATAAAGAAAGTTTCAAAAGTAAAGCTGAACACATGGAAAATATTTGATAAAAGAAATTTCGTTTTCTTTATCTTCTAATCTTTCAAAGACGCCAGTTTTTATAATACATTTCATTCTCCAATTTTTAATTTTTTAATCTTAAAAATTTTGTTTTAAGTCTTTATTTTTGCAAGTATTCATTAACATTTCAACTGCATGCAATTGATGAATACGCTGTAAACTTCACAATTCATTACTCATTTATTTCTAGTCATTTGTCATTCATTTAAAATCTCATTTTCTGCTCATTTTTTTCCCTGACAGCTTTTTATTGATAATTAATGACATTTTCTTTGTAGAACTTTTTTTTTATTATGTCATTTACGAGTTCGCGTGAAAAAAATATCGGTAAAGCAATCAAGTATTTTACAAGTCTATTCGATTCAAAGAGTTTGCCCATTATCTGATGAAAACGTACATGGGTTTATATTTTTTAATAATCTTTTTGAGTTAAGGGAAAATGGCGTTTCGAAGTTAATTTTTTATTCTCTAATTGAACAATCGTATCTATTTATCGAAAAAGTTTTTCCAGTTTACATTTAAAACTTTACCTTCGATAGCAGATGTCCCAACATAATTTAAATTGTTCGATAAAATCGATGCAGCCAAAATAATTGTATAATATTGATTTTTAATATACTATAGAACTTTTTGTGTAAAACTGGTGTAGTCGGGTATAAACTGGTTATTTTGCAAATTGTTTAATTTTAATAATAATTTATAATTGATTTACACTTGGAGAAAGTATTTAAGGATTCTTTTAAATGTTGAAACCTTTAAGGATATTAAAATATTTAAAAAAAAGTAAGTAAAAACTTGATTAAAATTTGATATAATTCAGCAATGCTAAAAAATATCAAGGCAAAAAAATCATGATATAAAGATTGCAAAAACTGAATTTTGATGCCCATAAGAATTTTTATTTTCAATAATATTAACTTTTGAGTATATAATATATCACTTTAAATGTATTTTAATGTCTTTAATTTCTAGATTGAATTTTTTTATAGTTTGATTTTGGTGTGACTAAAATACTAACTAATTTCGAGTATTTTTAAAACATTTTTAGTATTCATTTAAAAATATTTTATTTTATTAAATTAACTGTATTTTCACAGTAATAAACTGAAAATGGTTGTTAAGATCTGCTCATTATATGGGGTTCTTTTTTCATTTGAAAGCAATTTCCAAATTATTAAATAAAATTAGATACATCTCGAATTTCTTTACTAATTCTTTATAACATGCAATTGAATAACTAAATGAAACTAGAATATCTATTTTACCTTTAAATGTTTAACGAAAATGTCATATCTAAACCTTCTCTTTTTTAAAACATAAGAAATGTTTTTTTTATATACATATACATATTAACTATTTATATATTCACCCTAAGAATTCCTTACTCAAGAAAATAATATCACTGAATCATGAATAAAACAGGATTTCAACAATGCTTTTAAGACTTCAATAAAATCCTTTTTTATGTTTGTCAATTACAATATTAGTTTCTTCGCCAAACAGTGCCAAAAAAGAAGATGTCGCATCTGTTTCTGAATATTCGTGTAACGAATAAACGTACTCTCTATATATCGGTTTATTAAGTCTCCTGACATATGCTGTTTTTTTTTGTTGTTGTTTTTATTCTTTTTTTATGTCCCTCCGCACAGATGCTTAGCATCGATTTCTCGCTACCGCAAATACCCATAATGCATCATTCGCTAAAGATCAATGGAAACTAAAAATGCGATATAAGAAACCCTCTCTACACTGTTCCTTGGGGAGATGATCTCTGATGGATTCATATGTATCATTAAATCCTATTTACATCACCCCTCTTCCCTCAAAATGTTTCAATGCCATTTCAACGGAATGACTTTTGTTTTGATTCGTATTTTATGAAAAAGTTTCAGTTTCGGGATATGGCAACAAGGAATGGAACGGTATACCCATGCTTCACAAATTGCCCATTTTCAATTGTAATGTTTGATAAGTATGATGGCTTGTCATGCTCTTTCTTTCAACGTTAAAAAAGAATCGAAATGTGAACTGTAAAAAAAATAATTTAAGGAATTTTGTATTCAGAGGTGTTTCATGAATAAATAATACATAGCCACATACATTTTATATGCGAATTTCAGTTAGTCTATTACCTTAATCGTTTAAAATTTACATGTAGTTTTCAATGCTGAATAAAAGAAATTAGTATTTAATTAATATTAATTAATTATCGCCATATCAAAAAGTAAAAACTGCTAGTTACATTAGAACATTCGAAGCAAACGAATAACAATAAAAACTTTCTATCTATAAGCAANATGTGAATAAAAGAAATTAGTATTTAATTAATATTAATTAATTATCGCCATATCAAAAAGTAAAAATTGCTAGTTACATTAGAACATTCGAAGCAAACGAATAACAATAAAAACTTTCTATCTATAAACAACTCGTATTCTTTATATATTGCGCAGAAGTTATTTTAAAATTAAAAGATTTTCCTCCATTTTAAGTATTAAGAAATCTACAATTTTCTTCTCTAGTTTAAAATTCAATTCAAAATTATTCATTTGAAGTTTTTGTAGGTGTAAAAGAGTTTATTAAATGCATTTTTGCCTTGAAAAAACTGTAAAAGCCATTACTTCCAACACAGCTCTTTTGGGCGCTCAACATAATATTAAATTTTGATTTGCTGACTGCAGATTGATTTGCAGAAATTTACAATTGTCTTCTTTCATGATCAAAATTGTTTATAATTTGAGAATAATTTTCGTTGTTAAATAGATAAAATTTATTATTACATTAATAATAATCAAATTTTGAAGCATCAAAACAATAAAAAATAGCTAGTTGCAAAACATTTGGTGCCAACAAATAACAATAAAAATTCTAAATTTATACAAATTTTATTTTTTATATACGCCCCAGAAATAATTTTAAAATTGTCTCTAGAAAGTATTTTAAAATTGAAGAATTTTACTTTAAGTATAAAGAAGTCAAAAATTTTCTTCTCCCTAGATCAAAATCATTTAAAAAATTTTGTAAGTGCAAAAAAAACTATTAAACTTATTTTTACATTAAAATAATTGTAAAAGTCATTACTTCCAACAACGCTGCTTTGGGTGCTCAACATAATACAGCATTTTGCTATGCTGCGCAAAAACCATTAAACTTAGAAATTTGAAATTATGAAAGTGAATGGCAAAATGTAAGGGAATAGGATGAAACGTTTACACCCAAAAATTAGTTTAAGAATTTTCAACTGCTAGACCTGTATTAAAAATTATCATTCAGGCTGCTCTTCAGCTTGCGAAAATCTAACTAAGGAATTAAAATTTGACGTTTGGAAAAACCATGTTTATTTTTAAACCTCACACGAGTTTTTTTTTCTTTCAAAATTCCAATGTGTGCGTAATTCAATGTGTGCAATTTAAGTGCTTATTATCTGTTTAATTTTTCCTTTCTTTTTTTAATTTTTCTTTTGTTGCATCCATTTTTGAAGTAAATTCTCCGAATTTTTATTTTATAAGATCGCGTTTGAGGTAACAAACGCGAAAACTGCAAAAAGAGAAAAGAAGAAGTAGATGAAAAAGAAAGAGCTTAAATGTTGCCAGATATGAATCTTAGCATTTATAATGACATTTTTAAAAATATAAAAATCTTAATTCAAGAGATATAAAAACCATCTGTTGTAACAGAACAAGTCTTGTTAAGAAGTAAAATTACTTCTCATTCTTTCGATTGAGCCACGCAATCCACACTGTAAAAAAAAAAGAAAAATGGTTTCTCACAATTAAGCAACAACCTGTCGAAATAGCTCCGAAGCATATATAGTCGAATTTGAAAACCCCATGTATTCCTTATTGAGCATTTACCGAACAGGTATTTATTATTGAGCCTTTTTAGTCTGTCACTATACTCAATAATGAACACATCAGGTTTTCAAATTTGACTATATTTGTTTTGGAGCTATTTTGGCATATTTCGGTTTAAATTTAAGAAATTTTTTTTACAGTGTATATTCCTAAGTTTACTGCTTTTCAAGTAACTTTTATTTCCTTCTAAATCTAGGTAATTTTTCTCTCTCTTTTTTTTCTATTAATATAACAAAATGTTTTTGCATGAAGTTGCTCCAGCTATGTACATCTTATTAAGAAAATGTTCTTTGTTTTTGTAGAAAGTTTCGCCACTACGGGGTTTGGTGACCGTAACGCCTTATTTTTATAGAAAAACTGTTAAGTCTTATTCGCTAGAAAAGAAAAAGCAGCTACCTACCAAGTTCAACAGATATTTTATCATAAACTAAAATTCTTTTGCGATTTAAATTTGTTCTGAATCTATAGTTAATTTCTTACAGAAAGGCCTGCTTAAAAATGTGATGTTAGAAAACTAAAACACTTAAAAATCGTGCTAGAATCTGTATTTTACTTGTCGTTAAAGTTTTAAATCAGAGTCCTTCTTTTATCGATTCAAATAAAATCACGTCTATTTTTCCTGCGTCCTAACAACCCAATATTTCTCTGAATACTTGGAATATAATGAAGTGCCAAATATTTGTCTTTGGATGTTTCAAATGTTGACTCTTTTTTTCTTTACAGTGCCGCCAGGGGGTAAGGCCATGAAGGCCGTTGCCATGGATACAGCGGAGGACAGCATCAGCCAAACTAGTGATGAACAGCTGGTCTCTCTGCAAATATACGTTCCTGAACTTGTCGTACAGGTAGGGGCCTTTCAGAAAATTTAATAGTTTTTTTTCTATACTTTGAGATTAATATTCCAGCATTTATTTATATTGTTGATTAATATTAATTAGAAGTGTGTGTAATTGTAATTAGAAGTATATATAGTTATAATTATAAGTAACTTTAATAAGAAATTTTATAAAAAATAGTGCCGTTACAAATAGCATCTTAGACGAATAGTGAATATTGCTATATAAAAAAAACTATTTACCTGTGGTAGAATATTTGTTCCAAAATGGGAAGATTTTTTCGATCTTCTTTTCTTCTCTGTATCGGGTTTAAAGATAATTTTTTAAACCACACTAATAAAATTCTAAATCAAAGTTGGGCGGACAATATATTTTATCACTGTCAAGCCTAATTATTAATAGAAAAAATTGAATATATGATTAGGAAAAAGAATTTTCATCAAGAAATATTTTTATTATTCTGTTTGAAATAAAAGTTAATAAAATTTAAATTAATTGGAGGGTAAGCTTAAAAGAAATACAAATTTTATTTCCAAATTTTAAAACTAAAATCTAGCACAAATTAATTAGTATATTAAAAGTATGTCTTATTTGAACTGTCATATATATAATCACTGAATCATGAATAAAACAGGNTATATATATATATATATATTAGAAAGGATTATCAGAAAGTTAAAAGCCGATTACCAGCAATATTCGTGGATAATCAAACTAAATTCGATGGTTTTTCTCCCCGCCTTTGTCATTAAAGTCTCAATAGATTTGGATGTTGCTTTGGCTCCTTTTCACTAAAATATTGATTTTTTAAATCTGATGTGTATATTTTTTTTGATTCAATTTTTTCAAAAATTCCAACCCATATGAAGGGTCTAGATTTCCCAATAGCAGGTGTAACATTACATAAAACGGGTTATAATTTGAAATAAAAATGAATTTTGTGTTAAATACTTTTTAAATTTTTTAAAATAAATTTTTGCAGAAATGTATGCAGTTCAACCGAGAAGAACTAATATGGGACGTAAAGAATCAAATTTTGGCAGCTCTTCCGAAAGTAAGACACATTTTTTTATCTCTTATTTTTTTTCATTCTCATTTTTCTTATTTTCGTCATCAAAAGTACTCGTTGTATGAGAAGTTTTGTACTGCTGATCAAAAAGTACTCGAAATTGGAGCATCCGAATTTATTTTATTTCATTCAAAATAGTTATCTGTGTTTTCATTACACTCTTACCAACGTTTTTTCTAATCATCAAAACTTACGTTTGATGATAATTTTTGATCAAAAATAATAATCGTTACGATTACTTCTGATTTGATTTCATTACTTCTGAACAAAATAATCATCATCATGATTATTTTTGATTTGACTTCATTATTTTTGAACGAAAATAATCATCAATGATTATTTTTGAGTTGATCTTCATCAAATAATTTTTGTAAGAGAGTAGAAGAGGTATAAAGTTCGTAGCGAAAAGAGACAGCGAATCAGAGTTTGTAGCGAATTTTCTTTTTTGTAGCGAATTACCGCTCTCAATACAATGGCCACGAAGAGACAGCTTTAACCAAGAATCAGAAAAAGCCTCCCGGTGTTATATTAGGAGAATACGGTACATGCGAGGTTGTATTGGTTGAATGCTTAGATAAAATTGACAAATTGACGAAACATGAAATTGCGTTACCATGGTACCAAATTCAAGAGGTTTTCGCTACATTTTAGGTCGCTTTCGATGCATTGTTTTATTCAAAAGCCATAAAACACTCAAATACTAATCTTTATTGACTGCCTGGAGGAAATCGCCAAGATATCATCAAGCAGGAAGTCATATTAACTCAACATCGGGACAATCAGGGAAAAAATGAATATTACTTTGATTTTAGCCAGTCTTTGGCGTGCTTTTTTGATCTTGTCAATGGGAAACAATTTCGTGTTTTCTGTTGCATAAGTCATGTTTCATAAAGTTGCGGTCATGAGTCATAAGATCATGTTTTTTTTTTAATTTTTTCTCCACTGTAACTCAATCACTGTAGCAAAAATAATTTGAGTCAAATTGATAACATTAAAATTAATTTTAAAATCAACCGCCCTCTCCCCCCCGAAGATTTAATTGCTCTTTTGCTCCAAATTTGGTGTTTTTTTTATTTATAATTTCATTTTATAAAATAAGAATAATTTTTTTATCTGCGAAACACATCATGACGTCATCTACGAGTGAAGATTTTATTACAAACTAGCCGCCTAAGGCGGCCAGCTGTCCGCCACGCTATGTTTCTTGGGCCCTAGCACTGCTAGTAGAGACACGATCCTCTTCCAATCCTCTTTGACGTTTCTAAGGTGTTTCTCAGGCCCTAACACTGCTAGTTGAGACACGATCCTCTTCTAATCTTCCTTGACGTTTCTCTGATACTTCTTGGTCTCTAGAATTGCCTGTCGAAATTCGGTCATGTTCCATCCTTCTTTGACATTCCACAGACGTTTCTTGGGCCCTTCTTCTTCTTTGAGAATCTCTTAATATCTTTTTCCTTGACAAAATACAAAGTTTTTTGGAAGGCGGTTCTGCCATGTCAGTAATCGGGTTTTTAAGAAGTCAACGAATACTTTAGAACAACAATTACTATGAAAGCAAATCATGAAACTTCAATATTAAAATCTAAGTGCTTACCTGCAAACTGAAACTTTCTGAAAATAACTAATTACATTTAATAAAAACTGTTAAAATAAAGAATAGAAAAACCAAAGAGATCCAAGGTAAGTGTGATCGTTCCTTCAAAAACAATTAAATTCCTATTTTATATATTATATAGCTACAACGCTTAAGAAAAAAAAACTAAAATGCTAAATACATGAAAAGAACACGAAAACGAATTAATTTTTTATGGTATCAATTTCTATTTCTATATAATTTTTTATGGTATCAATTTCTATTTCTATATCGCTACAAAAATTATCGTCTTCGCTTAAAAAAAAAAAATAGAGCGTGGAAAGAAGAAGAAAAACTTATTATAACAATTATGAACAGCGACAAATATATCAAAGCGAAGCGTTCTATTTACGTATCGAATATGTTGCCACATTTTTAATACAAAAGTTAAACTTTTCTCCACTTTGATAAATGTAAACTAATGCGAACCTTACAATTAAATTATTAATTCCTTCGTATATTATTGGTTTAAGTTGTCGAAAATTAATATTTCAATTGTAAGGTTCGCATTAGCATACATTTATAAGAGTGGAGAAAAGTATATGCAATTTTTAATAGTTTTTTGAATATGGCTTTTTGAAGACGAAAAAGCATAGATTTTCTTACAAAATGACTGATAACTAAAAAAATAATCCAAATTTTTGAAAAATAAAAATAAATACTTCTTTATTATGTCAAAACACAATTATGTGCGGAGTTTCGTGCCTGGGTGAGGCTTCTGGGGCGATATATTGTGATTACAGACAGACACACACAGCCGCGTTTATTATTATGTATAGATTTCGATAAATTTAATATGATATTCTGAGATAATTTTAGTCTTACGCATTTGAGTGATCACTTTTTAAAAAGTTGCATGATAGCATGTTACCATGTCATCACTTTTAACGCGCTCGATTGCAGATTTCCTTCAAATCTATGTGGTGCATCGGCAGTTATTGCTACTTATTTTTTCTTACGGTTTTGAATATTTAGATATATTTAATATGATATTTTTACGACACTCGAAATTTGAACCAAGCATTTGAGTAATCACTAATATTGCTGCGATGAGGAAAATTCGAATCACACAATGACTGACATAATTTCATCACTTTTCGTTCAATTTTTCAACAGTTATAATTACTGGTGACAGTTATTACATTATTATAGCTACTGATTTTTAAAATCCTGAGATTTTTTAATGCTATACTATTTATAACAACACGCGAATCTCGAATCGTGATTTTAAATAATGACTTTTTGACGATTCCGATTTTTCGAGTTGTTTCTTCGTAAATTCACATTGTTTTGTCTCAGATATCTTTTTCGGCAGTTTCTGCCCGGATATTATGATTTTCATAAACTATCAGATTTTTTTTTAAATGCAATTACGACTCGCTCTCAAGAAATACTTTGACTACATTAATTAAAATATTTTTTTAGTAAAATTTATTCAATTTTTTTCTATCAGTTTCAGAACAGTTTAGTGCTATACGGCTTCCGTAAGATCTATTTTTTTTCTTTTATGAAACTCTAAATTTATTGCTTGTATGTGTGCATAAATATATTAATTTTGATTGTTTAATCTATCTTCTAGGAGTTGAAGGAAGGCTTCAACTATGGATTATTTTGTCCTCCAGTAAATGGAAGGGCGGGAAAATTTCTGGACGAAGAGCGCCCTCTGGCGGATTATCCTTTTGCCGACAATTCGGCTTACGTCGAAGTAAGAAAACTACAATATAATCATAATTACATCAAGTTAATAGTTGAAAATGTATATTAAGGTAAAATTTATAAATAAATGAATACGAAACGTAAATTTTTAATATACTGACACAAGAATAGACTTAAAAATATCTAAACCGTTCTAAAAACTTTTTAAAAAAAGACTAAAATTCTTACAGTTAAAAAGTTTAGTATCTCAAACTACTTGCCGAGTAAAGTTTCTGGTGCCTTAAGCAAAATTAACAGTCGTTACTGGCATAAGGGCAACTAAAAATAACAAAAAACTGTGAACCAATCGAAATTTTTTTCTTTGTTAATACTAATAACATTGTATAACTTTGTTAATACTAATAACAATACACATTGCATGTGCATTTTGTTATTAGTATTTTATTATTATTGTTATTTTATTATTATTATTACTACTATATAATTATTATTATTATTTTATTATTATTATTACTACTATATAATTATTATTACTATTATTATATTATTATAATATTATTAGTATTATTTTATTACTATTATTTTATTATAGTTTTATTTTTTTATAAATATTGAATTATAATGAATATTTTAGTTAAATCTGAAAATTAATTCATTTTATGCTTGTTTTTTTTTTAAATTTTTTATTTACCTTGTAAAAAGAATTTGTAGATTTTTCCAAACTAAATAGGCCTTGAATAGAATAAAGATGTCCTATAATAATAATAATAACAACAATAAAAAATTCACAATTCAAAAGTGGCCACATGCTTTGAAATGTGGCTACTATTCAAAATGTTGCAATTAGCAACTGCTCGGAAATAAAATTTCCTATTTTTTCCCCATACTCGAATACATGTGATAAACATTGTGCTACTATTATTATAGAATTAATAATTCAAATTAAAAGTTTCTAGCTATGACTTTTTCCTTTTCTTCTTTATAGTTAAGGTATAAGAGGAGAATTTATAAAATCAACATGGAAGAAAAACAGCTCAAACAATTGCACAGTAGAGTAAGTCTTCATTATTTTATTTTATGCATCGTTTTACAGTATCCATTAATACATATATCCGTTAATATATATATTTGTGAAGGTACCC